TCCTCCTCCTCCTCCTCCTCCTCCTCCTCCTCCTTCTTCTTCTTCTTCTTCAATTCTTCCTCTCAGTCCATCAACCCTCTCGCAACATGAAGATCTTCGCCATCCCCCTCCTAATCGCCACGGCCTCCAGCCTTACCGCCGCTTCATCACTCTGTCCTTTGAATAACACCCCTAAGTGCTGCACTGTCGAAGGCTCGGACCTATTTCCTACGCGCTGTGTAGAACGTAAGTTTGGCTGCTTGCTGTATCAGTATTATAGACTTGTGACTGCTAACTGCCTATCGTCTTTATATAGTTAGCACAACCCCAACCAGCGCTGCCGAGTTGAACTCCATTTGTAAAGCGCAGCAGAAGGAGGCTCGGTGCTGTGTTCAATCTGAAACCTTGCTGGAGGATGTCTGTAGTCAGGTGATTGGTGCTTAATTAGTTAGTATGCATTGCATTGCACTATTGGGTAGGGGAGGGAAGGGGAGGGGAGGTTATCTTGGTGTAGGTACTAGAGTGCCTGTTTTTTTTATGTATTTATATGGCTCAACTGTCTACTACTACTACTTGTCATGTTAGAGGTTATATGAGGATTTAGGTCTCGGAAATTTATCGAAGACTCGTTTGATCGGTTTGAAGTAGATTGGAGAGGTGTATGTTATCAGTGTAAATTCAATTGATTTGGCGAATATTCTAGGGTATGGTATATTGGTTTTATGGCTTACTTACTTACTTTCTTTCTTTCTTTCTATTTGCTCTACAGTTGGGCAGAAGATCAATTAGAATTGGGTGGTCAGTAGTGTTAAATAGTATAGGTCTAAGTTGATCAAAGTATAGATTCTAGGGTTTCATCTTAATAAGTAGTAGTTTTTTCTTCATGATTTCTTTTGCTTTGATAGGTGGTACAAGACACAAACAGCTTAACCCTAGTATGAGCAGGTATCTTACTTGTAATTGATTGTAGCAATGCTTTTCAAATATGTAGTTGTATCAGGATATAATTCTACACAAAGTAGTGATCGTAGCATCCTCTATTCCCTATTATGCATCCACCATAGTTCATGCAGCTTGTCAATATTAAATGATATTGTCACCTTCTTTGTAGATCTCTGACCTCAAAGTTGTCACTAATAGTTACTCCGCATTCCGTCGACAGCCATTAAATACATGCTCATTGGGCCATTAGTCTGGCCCCTAACGTCATTGATATGATAGGCTACTTGGTTACCACACTAATAGTTCTTGTCAAGAATGTGTATTTTATATAAGAACTCCCCAGCAGCTAGTAGTACTTGCCCTTTCATAGTTTCTCATTCATCAGTGGACCACTTCCTTCATAGCTAGCCGAGAAGCAAGCAACCAGCCCTCTTGAACTGGGCTGTCGCTTGTCATGAGCAGAATAAAAACGCTAATTGCTGTGCTACTTCGACATTGGGCGAGGCTCAGACTCCTATGTGTAGTACCGCTTTCTGAGTACTACTGTACTGTAACTGGCTGGAGTTGAAAGTTGTTAGCCAGGGATGAGTTGTTGAGCATGTGCGCTGTGCTGGCAAGAGGGGGGGAGGAGGGGGAAACAAGAATGGGTGGCTAATATACTAGGCATGTGTAATCTAGTTCATCTGGCAAATGATAAATTAGTATTAGTACAGCAAATTAGATATATCGAGGGAACTTTGAAATAACTTTTGTATTTGAATAATCGAACCTAGTTACTCTCTACAGATCCCTACTGAGCCTTTACTCATTACTGTAGTTACAAGGGAACTAATGGTGAGCAATAAAATAGTTACTCCGGATTCCGTCAATAGTCTCGTTCCCCCAGATATAGCATCTCAGAAAAAGCAAACGCTCACCCATCAGCCAAAAAAGGGCTCTAGGGAACATAATAGTAGGATGGAGGGGGTTATAGTAGAAGGGGAGGGGGGTATTTAGGTCCCTAACAATTCCCCCAACTATACAGTACTATTCACAAATTGTATACTCCACAACCTCTGTAGTAGGACGACGCCAAAAGCATCTATCTGCACTTCCTTCCAGCTCCATCCATAAAATCAATCAAGAGCAAATAAACATGAAGACCTTCATCACAGCAGTTTCCCTCTTCTTCCTCACAGCCTCTACCAGCTTCACCATCGCTCAATCCTCCATCTGCCCCGAGAAAACCTCCCCCCAGTGCTGCGCTAGCGATGTCCTGAAACCCTCTGACTTGAACTGCGATGCTCGTAAGTTGTTTTCTTGATCGCTTGTTAGAACCGAAACTTCCTTTGGAGAACAAAAAAAAATTGAGACCTAAAACTTTTCCCCTCAACTTCGTCCGTTGGATGTTCTGACTTTTATTTATTTGAACAGCTTCCCGACAGCCAACAAATGGTACTGATTTGGTGACCATTTGCGGAGAGGTAGGACAGCAGGCTAAGTGCTGTTCCGCTCCTGTACATGACCAGGTTGTTTGTAGTTCGGTTGTTGGTGTTTAGTGGGTTTGGGAGGAGAGAGTGTATTTGTGGTTTTTTCGCGCTGTTCGGGTTCAGAACTGGGGTGGGGGAGCGACATGTAGTAGGCTGTTGGCATTAGACTGTTCTGTTGGTCTAGTAACTACTTCTTGTCAGCTATTTTTGCATGTGTTTGTTCGGGTCTAGATACACGAATAGAAACATGCCATCTTGGTCAAATGAAGATCAATGTGTGGTATCTGTCTCAGGCTTGGACAATGATTGCAGATATGAGTATTTGATTTTTTTTTACTGGTATGACTAATGACAGCCCAGTATGTTCAAAACGCCAATGGTATATATATTTCAGAAAGAAAAAGGAGGCGAGAAAAGAGAAGGTAAGAGAGAGAGAGAGAGGGAGAAAAAGAAAAGACAAAAAGAAGAAGAAAATAGAAAGAGGAGAAAGAAGCGAAAGAGGCTGTTTTGTTTACAAGAAACCTCTCGTTCTCATCCCAACTGATATCGCTCAGTCTGGCTTGGATGTCAGCACAGGCAACAGACCATGATCCCGTGCCTCTTCCTCCACCTCCACGATGAGCTCACGGGTGGCCTCTTCATTGAGTTCGATACCCCGTACCATCTTCATTTCGTCAACGTAATCCCTAACTGTGCGGCCGGTGGATAGTAGCATGTCGCAGGGAAGGATGGATCGGTTGTCCTTGGTGCCGTCCCCTTCTTGATTGGCCTCGAATTCTACTATTTCATCGCAGCCGGGTGTCGTAGGCTGCGTGTCAAGATTGTTGTTTGACGGGGAAGAAGAGGAGGAGGGGGAGGAAGGTGATTGTGTTGTATGTGCGTGGGGGTCTTGCGATGATAATGTGTGATGAGTAGGGTATGATGGTCCGGGAGGTAAAGCACCAGAGACAGGAGGAGGTACGTGAAGATTACCGTGTACTGGTACAGCCGGCGACCAGCTATACAATAGAGGAGGCCCATACGCGGCAGGCTGGCTGGGCGGTATGGCCATGGAGGGCATATATAGTGGCGACGTGTTTAGCCCAGCCCTTTCACCGTGATTCACCACCGGTTCTCCACGGCCTCCTGCGATACTGTCAGACAAGATCATCTTTGTAGAGTCAGCAAGGAAGACATACTGAGGCCGTTTGCAGCCTCTACTCTCAGAGGACGATCTCTGAGGAAGATATTCTGGTGCTGCCCGATAGCTGCTTGAGCGTGGGACCTATGCTGTAAGCGAAGTTGGTTAGCTCTGATCTTACTTTGTAGTACACAAATCGGTCGCTAGTGCCAAGGGTAGATTACTGTAAACTGAACCCAACCGCTATAAAGACCTGTCCTTCCTGCGCGAACCTGCGCCCAGCACACTCCAAACTGGGAGAAGAGCTGCTCCAGTTCGTGCCGGAGGATATTCGGACAGACGCCGCTGGAGAGACTAGACAGCGTTAGGATTCTAGGAAATATATGCGTCATGAAGAGCTGTTCTTACTTTCCCACATGCACACAGGCATTTGTGGGGAGCCTTAACTGGGCGTTTTCTCTGGTAATCCAAGGTGACTGTGGCTGATGTCCAGGAGACCAGAAAGATGGATGAAGCAGCTGAGGCTGGGCAGTTGAGGGATGGGGGGCGAAGAACGGCGCAGCCATGACGACTGTTGTATTACACCTCTAGACTATTATCGAGGTAGTATATGAGCTAAGGATAAATAAAGAGGCTAGTATATCTGGCGTATTGTAGAACAAGCAGAGAATAGATTGTTGGGAAATAGTCAGTGTGATAGAAGGTATCTTGATGAGTGTGTGATGGAGAGAGTGGTGAGGAAGGAAAGAGAAGAGGGAAGGCTGAGGAAATTGCCGTCTCCTGGCAGCGGTAGGAAAATGGCATCTTCCTGGCCGTGACGTCGAGACGAGGTTATGGATTATCTCAGGAGCACAGAATCTAATGATGCAAGACTGTAGAATCCTTTGGGCTCAACAGATGCGAAGCCAAACGGCTTGAGGATATATATGTATTCGAATAAGTAGCATATCTACCTGACATGAAGCCCTTAGAGCTGTAGGCTTGCTATTTGATCGTGAACATGTTTGTGGCCTGCCAAATATAGCAGAATGGAATCTTTCGTGATGATTGCCACACACCAGAAGATGCCAGTATATCAAGAGAGCGGCAGGCTGTTCACTCGGGGGTGATTCCTGCTCGAAAAAAAGCCTAGAATAAAGTCATGATATACATCACTCTCCGATGACTTGTGTAAACTCCTAGAGACGTCTTCACTGTTTAGTTCAACTCCAACAAAACCCATTGATGCATCCATCTCGTCGTCTGACTCAGGGTGCACTTGGTTATTATTGGCCAACAACCGATGTATGCGCTCGCAATATGATTGGCGGGATACACGCATATCATGACAACTGCTATTCTCACCGCATTAGATTCTGCCAGCAGAATGAGACAACTGGCGAATCTATGCTGATGGGAAGGATGCTGTTGGCCTACACAGTACTACTACTAGTACTTGTACTAGTACTGTGTAGACCAACAGCAATCATGCTGCTCAAGGATACTGCGTGAAAAATACCTGCTATATGCAGTGGCTATTTTATAGGCCCAAGCCTATCTGAGTGAATATATAGGTTTTTTAATGTCGCACCCTAGCAATATTAGCTGCTTTCGAAGGAGTCCCCTAAATGAGAAAAAGTTAGCGATATACAACAAAACAACAGAACACACTAGATACCACTCTTATACTCACCTTCATATTTGCAGCGTCAAGTCATAGTCCATTCCACACCAGGCTACCATGAATCACAGAAGCCTACACATTTATATCTCCCTAGGCGGTGACCCTCCAACCACCGAGACCGGACAACTAAACCGGACAGCTTCTGCCTCAGGCCCGCACGGCCAGCGAAATTCCGACGTCATGCGCAGGTCCGAGAATCTCCTCGACGCATCGCCGCGGCACCTTTACACCTGCACCAACATCCCCCAATTGGCTTGATTTCTATCTACCCAAGCCAACATGTTCCCCACGGCCCGATGCCTAGCTGCAAAGCCATCCGGCTTCCTCAAACGCAGCGTTGAGGAATTCGGCCGTCTATCCCGAATCGGTGCGCTTCTCCCCATCTCCACTAACCAAACTAACAGATCGAGACCGATAAACTGATTGATAAAAAAAAAACCTCCAGCTTGGAACAACGAAGCCCTCTCCACCCCAACCAAGCCCTACGTCCTCCTCGACTTCGAAGATGAGTCGTCGGTCGCCAGCTGCAAGACCATGGCCGACCGCGTCGTCGGAGGTTACAGCACCGCCAGTCTAGACTACGTCCCTGCGGACCCAGCCACGAACAGTCCAGCACATGCGCGTTTCCATGGAAGTATCTCGACCAAGCTTCCCAAGAACTGGCGGGTTGAGCGGACAGGTATACCCCCTCCTCCATATCCTTCCGCCTTCCATCTTGAATAACCAGGGCTAATATGCGTGATAATACTAATATAGGCTACGCCGCCTTCCGCAACCACGACCGCGGCTTCTGGCTCTTCGGCCGACTCTTCTGGGACGTCGATCCGTACACCTATCTCGCACTGCGAGTAAAATCCGACGGCCGTCGGTACACCGTCAACATCCAGACCGATTCCATCGTCGAGACCGATATCCACCAACACCGTCTCTACACGCGGCATCACCGCGTGCAACCTTCCTTCTCTACCTCCGACGCGGACTCCTCGGATCTAGCGGACCGGTTGTACCCTAATGGTAGCATCCCCGCTGCTTTGTCTGATGTTCCGCCGGACAGTATTGTCATGGGTAGTGGTAGCTCGAGTGCTACGACCTCGGGTGGGACGGGATGGGAGACGATCCTGTTGCCGTTTAACTCGTTTGTGCGCACGAATCATGGTATGGTGGTTGAGCCGCAGACGTCAATTATTCGGCAGCGGATTAAGAGTGTGGGTATTGGGTTGACGGATCGGGTGGAGGGCCCGTATGATTTGAGGATTCAGAAGGTTTGGGCGACGAATGGTATGAGTGAGGCGGAGATTGAGGAGGAGAGGAGGATTTGTGGGGCGGATGCCTTGCCGGTTGATGAAGGGGTGATGACGGGGTGGATGGGTGAGGTTGGGGGGAAGGGGCAGAAGGAGGTTCAGGGTCAGAGGGAGAGTGTGAAAGAGGGAGGAGAGCCTAAGGCGAAGGGGTTGAAGGGATTGAAGGATGAGTGGGAGGCGTAGGTGCGGATGCAGGAAAGTAACTAACTTGATACCATATCTAGATTGTACAAAACAGTAATATAACCTTTCTAGTGCCTAACTAGTCTACCATTTCCCTTTTCATGACATTTTGTTTTTAACTCATACAAAGTCCATATTAGGACTGATAATTAGTTTAGTTACCACCGGTGATCTTCTCCCACGCCTCCTTATACTTCTCACTAGTCTTCTCCGCAATCTCATCAGTCATCCGGACACCCTCCTTGCCCTTCAACCCCTCCTTGACCAACCAATCGCGGAGGAACTGCTTATCGAAACTGGCCTGTCCCCGTCCAATCTCATAGGTATCCTTAGGCCAGAACCGCGACGAATCCGGCGTCAACACCTCATCAGCAAGCACCACCTCACCAGTCTCCTCATCAACACCGAACTCGAACTTGGTGTCAGCGATGATCACACCGCGGGAGAGCGCATACTCGTGGGCGATCTTGTACAGCTGAACGGACAGAGAAGCGACAGTAGCAGCGTATTTCTCTCCGATGATCTCAACAGCTATACCAACAATTAGCCTTCTTCTCTCTCATACAACAATGGAAGTGGGGTGGATATACCCTTATCCGGATGAATATTCTCATCATGCTCACCCAACTCGGCCTTCGTACTCGGGGTATAGATAGGTCCATCGGGGAACGCCTCACTCTCCCTCAACCCGGCCTTGACAGGAAGACCATGCACCGTGCCGTGAGTCTGGTACTCCTTCCACGCGGAGCCGGTGATGTAACCGCGCACGATGGCCTCAATGGGCAGGATGCGGAGCTTGCGGACCTGCATGCTGCGGTTCTGGAGGACGGGGCGCAGCGACTCGGGGATTTGTGGGGGTAGGTCGAGGGTCAGGAAGTGCGTGCGGAGGGTGGGGAGGGCGGTGGTGAGCACTTCGAACCATTTGCGGGTGCAGAGGGTGAGGAGGATGCCTTTGTTGGGGATGCCCTATTTGACTCTTAGTTAGTATTTGTTCATATGTATGGGGGAGTAGGGGATTGAGTATATATGGATGGTATAGGGTAGAGTACATTTTCCATAATCACATCGTAGGCGGAGATGCGGTCGGTCGCGATGAAGAGGAGGGTTTTGTCGTCGATCTCGTACAGATCGCGCACCTTGCCGCGCGCGATGAGGGGCAGGGCGCCCTGGAGGTCGGTTTGGGTGTATGCGGTGGCCATTGTTTAGGGTGGATTGGAGACAATGGGTGGATGAGAGGGGCGTGGATAAGAGGGGCGTGGATAAAGAAGAAGTTTGAAAGGAATGAAGGCTAGAGAAAGTTAGTAGTTTGGAGGTTAGTTTGGGGACGCAATGGAGGGGTTCGTGGGGGAGTCATACTTTGGACGCCCGCAATTGGTGGGTTGATAAGAGCCAGCGGGGTTGTTTGCCTGAGGCAAATATATTTACTATATCGTAGTGGAGGTCAATAGATTTATGGAGAGTAATGGTAGGTAGAAAATGATTATCTCGTTCATAGCAAATTCATTCTCATCTACTTATCCTTATTAAACCAGTTGTAATGTTACAATCACACTTCCCGTGTGGCCTCTCTTCCCCGGATATATCTCTCACGCTCAGCAGCCCAGTCCGGATCCACCACCGACAGCGCAACTGCTTGTGTGCCAGAAACATAAACATCGGGGTCAATAGTACGAACCTTGGCATTTTTGTGTAGGCGCAAGCCATCCTCCTCCACCAGTCCTTCAGTCTCAAACCTCTCTAGCATCTCCGATTCCTCCGGATCCGCAATATCCTTCAATAACTGCCAGAACTGATCATCCGTCGTGCTCCACAGCACCTTCTCGTGGATCCGTTCTTCGTGTACAAGATTCCCAATCAGCTGTCCAGTCCCTCTATACATCTCAACATGCGTAGGGTTAGACCAAACCTCCCGGTCCGCAACCAGATACGCCCTCGCAAGGTCTAGGGCCGCCTTCTGATCCCCGAGCACAAGCATCCGATTCGGAGAAACTGCATCAGGGAACGCTTTCAAGCTTGCGACAACCCGGTGCGCATCACTCAGCTGGAGTATCCCAAACGCAATTATATCCCGCAGGGCGTAATCCAGTCGGTCTGCGCAGAGATGTGGTGCCGCCATTTCGACAAGCGGGTACTGCTCTTCATCCAAGACAGTCTGCGGAACGCCATGCTTGGTCAGGATCTTGGGAATCTGCGTCGTACGAATATACCGTGCTTTATGGACTTCGTGGTAACTCTCCTCGCCTGGTTTTGAAAGCGCCCAGTCTACCACATGGCTGAGCACTGTGTGGCTGATGTCGTGCAAAAGAGCGGTTACCTGTTCTTCGACGCTTCCCCCGGCAATGCGGACGAGCAGGAATGCCCCGACGGAATGCTCGAAGCGCGTGATCTTGACTTGTTTGGGTAGAAGGCCGAGGTGTCCCGTTACACCATGTTGACAGATTCCAATCAGTCGACGGAGATCGGAAGATTGAAGCAGGTCGACCAGGATGGGCTCGGTAATGGAGTGGTCGCCATAGAGAGAGTCGCGGATGATGATGGTGCCGGATGCGGGGGACTCGTGAGTCTGGAAGTGCCCCGCCTTTAGTGCGGGGGCCATTTGTTGTCGGTGCCTCCGCTGATAGTCAAGGAGTTCGATTTGGGTAATGATGCTTCGATGAAGCTATGTAGATGATGAGCTTGATCTTCTGCTTGTGTTTGAGCTTGTATCGCTGTCTACTTCTGGGAGGAGAAACCGTTGCAGCGCGTTTGTTTACGGGAAGCTGATGGGGAAACAATGACCGGGAAAATAGTACCAGTGAATTTCATCTCTCCCGGTCACATGGCCGGCAGCTGATGATCCCGACTGACTGACTTTTATTTATCTCAGCGATGGAAAGTTCCGTCTTGCTATATCGATCGCTCGCAAGGTGCTTCTTCCTGCGTCATGATCATGAGGTATAGAGTCTCGACACAAGGGAGAGCAACATATGTCGGCCATGCAGTCTTTGAGATCATGGCTCCGTGCAGCTGATCAACTGCTTGGATTCCTAGTCGTTTACCTTGGTTAATTCTCGATATCATGTTTAAATGCTTTACTACAGGTCTGAGACTATCTACTGTGGGGAGATACATCATTGTTGATTGTTTCCACGCCTCTTTTGCAGTCTGATGAGCACGCTGGAGTTCTCGGAAACTCGTAACCATATGATATCTATGGTAGGTAATAAATTCTTTACTAAATCGGATATTCAATTTATGACAAGCGCAGAAGAATGGAATCTTTATTGACCACATGAATAAAAGCCGACTTTCATACGGTAAAATGTGTGTTCAAAGACAGAGGCACGAAAGCTTACCCATTTTGTAATACTTCTTCTAGCATCAGATAAGCCTTTATAATTCGCGGATCTCCGATTGCACTTGTGCGTTAAAATTCTTATCGCCACAGGCTGTTGATTGCGGCTTGAGGCATGTTTCCCTGTGCATGTATATCATGTCCCAGGCTCATTAATAGAAGTAGACTAAACATTTAAAGATCTTTCATCCACCATATTGGAGTGTACATGTCCTTTTCATTTTTCTCCGCTTTCCCTTTCCTTCGAAGTTATAAGGACAAAATTCATGGTAGTATCTGGGAAGGAGAATTATGTAGAGCCAGCGCGTCTCACAGAATCCACTGCAGGGATTAAGATGCACCGAGCCACCCAAAGTTAGCGCAGACAAGATAAGGAGGGCACAGACCACGACAAACCAAAACTCTAATCCTTTGTAAGCGCCGTAGGCCGTTGATATAATTGGATGTCCACACTCTGTACACCGTATAATGTGAAATGGAGAAGCTTCCTGGCACTGACTTTGCAGCCCCAGTAGCACGAGCGGCCCTGACGTGGACAAACCAGGATCATGAGATGGAAACGCAGCCTCAAAGGACTTTGTTAGGATCAATCCTGCGAAATTCCGCACCATTCAAGCCTCAGATTTTTGCTCTCAGACATAGGAAAAGCGCTTGGACGAAACAGCAACGTAAGATGCTTTTTAAGGCCGGGCGCCACCCCTACGGTGTACAGCAGGATGTAAATACTGTGAACCGTCCCACTCAGGTACTAATAGGCAATAGCAGTTCCTGTTGTTTCTTGTCGCTCTGAAGCTGACATGTTTGCGACATATGTCATTACTTCTATTTTGTTTGATTGAGCTTCCCGAGCAGACTTCCCATGATAGCGACTAGAGGTTTGTTCTCTCGAGGCCTAGGGCGTCTTCCCTATCAACCACAATTTAGCACGGTTTCCACGAAGGGAACTGAACCAAACTGTCGCTCTATTTGCCAATTCTGTATGGACAGCAGGATAACTACCGTCGTGCCCTAAGAACCAGCGCCTCCAATCGTGGATTATGCGATGGTGAAACCCATCTTGGTGATGGACAAGCGTTCCCATTCCCATGTTTGGGCAATCATGGAACGACGCTAGAACTTTGTTCTGCAACACTTAAGATCGATAGTATATTGTTAGGAATCTGGACCGTGATGTGCGTATCTTTCCAATGAAAGACGGTACCTGGTCCCATCAGCTATGCAGCAAGCTGGTCGAGCTTTTCCAAGAGGGCAGTATCAGGCTTCGAGTCACATTGTCCAAGGTAGGCAGGACGACTCTGATACTTCTGTCTCGGGGCTACTGACACATTCTGATTTCTAGATGTCAACTGACGCACAAAGTGTGTCTGTTTCACCATGAAAACATCTTGGAAGACGACAGTTGGGGTACTGAACAATTATTAATGGCTACGGACAATGATCTCATTCCAGAGTCTGCGACTTTGCGCAGCAATGGTGTCGTGAAATTGGACGACCGGGAGTGTCACTGTATTAAACGAAGATCGACAGCATATTATAGGTCGATTGATCTGTACAGCGCTTCAGACCCTGAAATATGTACGTGAGGTGGGATCAATCACAATGGGATGTGTGAGATGTGTTTGACTCGAAGCATCTTGAAAGCAAATGACGCCTGTCGAGCGCCAATGGTAGTACTCTTGCGGAGATACGCCAAGCGCCCTGGGTGGGAGTGCGACAGAACCATCCCGGAACTAAAGGAGACCGGACGTTTGAACCCGTTCTCCACCTCTTTAAAGAAGAGCCCAATAATAAAGAATGTCTTTAACAACTCTCCCATACCATATGTTAATGTTTATTATCTGAAGGATACAGATTGACGAAAGTGATCGCGGGAGAAAAGTACTAAGTCAGGTCTGCAGCTTTACCAACAGAAAGAATTATGCTTGGTGAGATATACTGGTCCTCGGGATGGCAACGACAATATTACCCGTCGAATTTAGTGTCGAAGTGCTAACCGCTAGACTAAAAGCAGGACTACTTTCAGCCATTCAAGAGATTATAGCAAACATACTAGTCGCTGTGGTCATTAGCTATTATAGCGTGGGTCAGATATGGCTGGCCGACGTTTAGCCGCCCAGTTCGGAGTTCATGGCTACTCGCTGCAATGTCTTACATTTCGCGCTGCCCTAAGGCTGCTAGTATGAACAGCCGAGGGTGGGATCATCTCTGGTGGAAGATCCTCTTTTAGACAACTGAACCTTTCGCTATACATACTTCTATTCCCATAGCTGCTGCGAGCTGGCACAAACCTACATATTACAGCCATCAGATCACAAGCTTTGCATTTTTTCCGACGATATACAAGAATATGACCTCAAAATATTCCAAATTTGCTCGCTCCCTGTTGATAGCGATATCAATACTAGCCATGCTCGCGATATCATTGCGACATCTAAGCGCCTCAATTTCTCTGCAAGAAAGTCAACTTGATCATCTGCCCGAGAAGCATATAAATTGGTCACGATTTGCATACACACAATACGCAACGGATAGATCTTACTTGTGTAACTCAGTCATGATATTCGAGGCCCTCCATCGGCTTGGAAGCAAAGCTGATCTCGTGTTGATGTACCCATCTAATTTTCTCGTGTCTGAGAAAGATGATTCACCAGAAGCTCGTTTACTACGTTTTGCAAGAGATGAATATGCGGTCAAACTCAAGCCAATGGAGGTGATATACAAGGGCGGGGGAGGTGGTAAGTCGCTTGATGTCACTGCTGCAATACGTCGAACTAAAAGCGGTGCAGAAACGTGGTCAAGGAGCTATACGAAGCTTCTCACTTTCAATCAAACAGAATACGACAGAGTCCTTCACCTAGACTCTGACGCGACTCTCCTACAGGTTCGTCTGTTAAGCGTGTTGTCCATTGTAACAACTAACATGGAATATGAAGACATTGGACGAGCTATTTCTGCTCCCATCGGCTCCGGTCGCTATGCCACTGGCATACTGGTTCCACCAAGAAGACAGAGTTTTTACCTCCGCCCTAATGCTCATTCAACCGTCCACAGCAGAGTTCAGCCGTCTAACGGATGAGATATGGAATGGTGTTTCTGGTGAATATGACATGGACATTGTGAACAGGTTGTATGGAGATACAGCGCTTGTTATCCCGCATCGTCCTTATATGCTTCTGACGGGGGAGTTTCGCTCCAAGGACCATGAAGCCTATCTAGGCAATGCAGATGAAACGTGGGATGCCGAGAGGGTCCTAGAAGCTGCCAAGTACCTCCATTTCTCGGACTGGCCTGTTCCCAAGGTATTTGATTCATAATATTGACGTCCAACGGATCCAAATTCAGCTAAGCTAATCGAATTTTGCGCTAGCCATGGATCACAGCCACTCAGCACGTGCTCGAAGAGACGCAGCCACCTTGCGAAGTACAACTTGCCACCGGTCAACAAGATGATTGCCACGTCCGACAGCTTTGGCTGGGGATGTACGAAGAATTCAGGTCCAGACGACAGGTAAGTTATGTTTACCTATGGCTCCAAGTTGTCAGTTATGGAGAAACTAACTATGAACAGAATATATGTGGCGTTGCTTTATCATGAAGGTACTCCGCAACGGGTCGCCCTTTCAATTAATCCGCTTCAAGACAGCAAGAATCGAGAGAATGACTTCTATTCTTGAAGTCGGGTGTTCTCGATCTAAACCTAATATACCCCCAAGATTTCCCAGAAATGTATGCTCAACTTGTCAATCCACAAAGAATACCTATGTATATTTTAATATTCACTTGTCTTCAAATCTCCAGAAACCAATGCATTGAGGAATTCTGTTGATCGCAGCATTCGTGACTCATTTACATATGTAGTGCCAGTCCGTTATCCCCTGTGACTTCAAGTATTTCGATAGACCCATTGAGTATAATCTGCCAAGCCCACAATCAGTGGTAGTCCAAAAAATCTCACTATCCCGTGCCGACTGGAATTATCGGACAGGGTAGTTAATACCTCGTCTTAACTACAGTAAAGCCTGTCAATTAAGACCTCTTATGTCAGGACTACTGCCCGAGTACTACAGCAAATTCTACAATAGACACTATCATATATATATATGAATCACAAATTCTCCATTTTTTTGGACTATGAGGTACTCGACAGATCATAAACCCTTACAGCACACGTGTGCTAATAATAATAGCAAATGATATGGGGATGTGACTTAATCTGTGATTCGTCGGCTGAGGGGCTCTGTAACCTGGCTACAGGCTATGCCGATCTGCTAAAGTGTCCCTTGAGTAGAATCATCGGACTTTTGTCCTTGGGTAGCTGTTAGAGTTGTGTAAAAGTTCCCTTTAGGTGGATAAAGCGCTTCTGAAGGTTATACTTAGTGATGGCGTGCCTAGTATCCCTCAATGAAGTCGACACGACATGCACGGCTGCTATGTAGGCATTAATGCGTACTTAAGGAGATATTCCAATCACTTGCACACCTCTCTGTGGTGTGATTAGTACTAGGCGCCCACCCCCGCACCTGAGCCTTATGGGCGAAACTTAGATGGAAGACAAGCAGTTATGAACCAAGCTATCTATTACCTTCCCAAGGAAACTGCTGAAGCCTAGTTTCCTACTCTATTTATATGGACAGCTAACCTTTCGGTAATTCTCACCCATGACAACAGACACCAATATTCCAACTGCTGGCCACCTGCAGGTACTGCTGGACCCGGCTGTTACTTCACAGGATACTGTGGAGTAAGAAACCGCACATTAGGCTCATCTCAGGAAATCCACTTACTTTTAGACCTAGAATTATCCTCGTTCCAGGAATCGGAACAATCCCACCTAAAAATTGGCCGTTTGCCAACCCAACTTGGCTCGCATCCCTACAGGCTCCGGTGCTAAGGCACGCGTTCTCTCGTACGAATACTCCTCGCGGGTTACAAGCAGAAAGCCCTCGTGGGAGTCGATTTTGATGCTAGGTTATGATCTTCTCCAGAAACTAAGCGATTTTAGATCAGGCTCAGACCTAGATTCGGTAGGCCAAGCTGTCGTGGTTTTGTTTCCTTGGCGCGGTAGAAACGTGCTAACGTAGTACTACTTTCAACAGACCACAGACAGGCCAATCTCACTGGTCTGTCACAGTTGAGGTGGCCTTATAGTCAAGCAGGTTTTGTGTGTTGCTAATAAACAGATTAATCGATACGGGTCGATTGTCAACGCTATAGCTGGCGTTATTTTCTTCAGCACTCCACACCGTTATGGCGATAGGGTTACAAGCTTGATGCGTTTCCGAGATATCTTGGGAGCAACAACAGGTAGAAAAATGAAGCTCTCGAAATCCAGTGTTGAGCAAGAAGGCGCTATATTGCTCGATCTCGCCGATAGATTCGAGGAGATCTCCTTCCGGTCTCCGATATTATCGATCTATGAATTGAGACAATCGAAGAGCAGATCAATACCGCTACGCCGGAAATACCAGCAGGTCTGTTACCAGTTCTTATGGAGCTGCAGACGCTGACTTCGTCACAGTTGGTTGACCGTGGAGCTTGCTTAACTCATGCCCCCATGGAAACTGTCATTGGCCTCAATATCAACCACCATGATTCATGTCTTTTTACCAAGAGTGCTGGCAATGAGGGCATACCCGAGTTGGAGAAGTTTGTTCACGACACACTACATGATGCCGTGCTTCTTGTTGCCTTTAGACTTGAGGATCGTATATTGAGAAGCATTGAAAATTCGTGTTATCAAGCTAATGGTCCAGTAGGGGTAGCAAGATGTAATGATGAGCAATACTCGCCCACCATGAGCGACCCGTAACCAAGGGGCAAGCTGCGTGTTTACATTGAGACTGGTTTTAACAGTGATAGAGACCCGTTGCATGAAACCGATGTATACAAACGATAGTAGTAGCCCTGTTATTTTCGAAATATAGTAGAATAAAAATAAAATAGTAGATGGAGACAAAAAGGGAAAAAACATACAACAGAAGGGATTCGCTGGTGGTCACCCACCCAACTACTAACCTCCCGGCGTGTGGCTTAAGTACGGCTGAGCGGACGGGAAGCCCTGTTTTCCACACCCTGTGGTCGTATGTACTTGTTATTTTGTTTTCCTTGTTTATATCCTACGCTCCACTATATTTTTCCCTCTTTCCCTTCACGCTTTTCCTCCACGGTTCTGTTTATGCCTGCCGTCTGCGCGAGGATTGGTCTGGCCAACTGCATCCCAAAAATCAAAACAGCCAGTACCATCCACTCTGCCCATTGCTCCTGGGTCACTCGTGTTGTACACCCCCAGCACAATCCAATACCACCTGGGTTCCACCTGGCTGCTTGACTTTGCGAACTGCAGGGCCGCGTGGTGGCTGCAACTATCATAGCCTCCTCCTGGTGGGGCCAGGCTATGTATAACGACCTCTAACCACCATGAGTCGCTATCTCACCCCTTCCAAGGTTGCCCTCCTTTGTCTCATCTCCATCTATACTGAAGGTGTTGTTCCCAACTCCTCCGCCATTCATGTCCTCTCGTTTCTGGTAACTTGTCTCAGCCCCTTGGAAAGAGAACAATCCATTTCCCCATCGGGAGATCAGACAACGCAATGCTCCGTCTCCATCACTGACCTGAAGGAAAAACTAACGGGCCACCCGTCCTCCGTCCCTGGCCGTACAATCTGGGACCTTTTCCTGAAAAAGATCTGGTCCCTCGATTGCTGCGATGCGTTGGAAGTCTTCTTCGCCGATATCTCGGCTATTCTAGCCAAGACTCGAGAAGAACAAATCCGTGATCGAGATGCGGGCCTTGCACCGGAGACCGGCTGTATGCGCCTGTCTCGGTGCTCTCCCTTGGGTGTGTTTGTCAGACGTTCCCAGCTAGAATTCACCAGACTGCAATTCCATGACTCCGTCAAGCTCTGGAGGGGGTTTGTCAAGTATCGACTGCCAACGTACCATGTATGGGCGCGGAAGAATCCATCTCTCGAGCAGGCACCTGTGGATATCAATCTGCTAAACCTTGGATTGGATACAACGGATTCCCTTGCGCAGGTCGCCTACGGCAGTATCGAGGATGACTCGGAGGATGAGCAGTACGTCAGCACAAAGGATGTCGAGCGGCTCCTAGAATTCCAAATAAGCGAGCTACAGAGTAATGAGCCCCCTCTACATGCCCGCATATTGAATACTGACTCTTGTTCAGGTCTGGGGGGAAGAGTGCCGGATGGCATGAAAGCACAATTAGAACGCATCATCACGTCCGGTGTGACTGTTCCTAATCTGGTGCACTATCTGAGGTATGCCGTTGGCTAATTGATCTGCGACACCTCGGGATGCTGGCTGACTCTCTAGGTTCCTTGATGCCTGGAGGGCAGGAGATTATCCGTCATCATTTGACAACCTGCACCGTTACTTCGACTGCACTATGCACAGTCGCGATCGAAGCTCCTATCAGTACGCGTTGCTGAATCTTGCTATCTTGCAGGCGGATTTCGGATGCTATGGCGAGGCCGTCTCTGCCATGCAGGAGGCTGTTTCCATTGCTCGAGAATCCCACGATATGAACTGCTTAAATTTTTGTATGAGTTGGTTGTATCACTTCGGTAAGGCTTTTCCAGAGCACATGAGAGATGTTCAAAACACAGGAATGTTGGGCAACGAGAAAGAAGGCCTTGCATTTCTCAAGGCCAAGGCAAAAGAGACAGAGATGTGGAGTCTTCTGAGTACAACACTATTGAGCGAAGCGAAGCTGGAGATGCGTAATGTAAGTCTCCCAACGTCGACGAACATCATGTATCATCAAACATAACATCTTCCAGGGAGAAAGTCTGGCCTCGTCTATCGAGAACATAATTCGAGCCTCGCACCTCAACGTTACAAAGAACCTGGCGAACTCGGTAGGCCCGCAGCTTCTGCTACAGGCTGCACTTTATTCTAGAATTGGTACGCATCCGTATCATGTCATTGTATAAACTCTTCTAAGACCCTTATTGCAGGCATCACACATCTAGCATGGCTGAGCGGCGAGACCTTTCGCGAATGCTACGCAAACAAAGCACCGTTTGAAGACCATCTCAAGAGCACGTTTCGTAGCTGTCAACTAGTATGTCAAACGTCCTTTTCAGCGAACAACATCACTGACCCTCCAAAGCTAGCACAGCAGGGCCGCTACACAGAGGTATCAGCCCGAATGAACCAGATCTCCCCAGACAAGCTTCGATCGCTCAAAACATACCAATATTGGACATTCTTCTCTGGTATCCTCCAGCTGCAACGGCAGATATACCGGTAGGTTCCTGGCACTCAATTGCATGACAATCGACTCATAGCATCTAGCGACAACCGAGTTGCAGCCGAACACCTCCTCGCTCAACTGCAAGCCATCCAACTCCCTGACAACGACATCACCCTTCTTCTTTCCATCCTCACTATCGACCTCCGTATTCGACAAGGCCACTACAGCGGCGCGCTCGAACTGGTTGAAAAAGCCGCGCAGGCTATCCAGCAAGACAACTTTGACATTTTCACGCAAGTCAAGCTCCTCTGTCTCAAGGCTTCCATCCTCCAGAAGACAGGCCATCCACAACGCGGCTTCTCCCTTGCCATGAGAGCCGCCAGTATCGCGCACCGCTCGCGTCTCCTCCCCAGCCTCTGGGAATCCATATGCGTGCTGGCAGGCGTCCTTCTGAGCATGCGCGAGTTTGATGCCGTGTCTGAGCTGATTGAAAGCATCATGCCGCAAATTCTCGAAACGGGTGACTGTAGCTTGGCTGCACAGGCCTACTCGCTTCTTGTGGACGCGAATATGGGGATCGCGGGGTCTCTCTGGAGTGAGGGACAGACGAACTCGGTTCAGCGGAAGGAACATGTCACTCGCGCTTTGGGGTACCTCGACTGTGCATATGAGCAATATGAGGAGATTGAAGATATCAGGGGCCAATGTGAAATGGTGGCCAAGAAAGCCACTGTTATGCATTTAACGGGCGATCCGGTCCTCGCAAATGACTATGCGGCGAAGTACCTGGACTTGAAGAGACAAGCAAGGATAGACTTTGGGGAGGCTTGACTTTGAATCACGCACTGATGTCAATTGTATGTTTAAATTATTGCAAAATGACAGGGGAAACAACAAATCTACCAACAAAGTCTTTGGCGTCGGCCTCTGCGCCAGTTTACTCCTGTGATACGGGTAGAAGAAATACCCAAGAAAGCCAATACGACCGTTACTGGTCATTAGAAACAACGAGGCAGCACAACAAAAGAAAAATGGCTTAGCAGTATTGTATGGTGCGCTATCTCAAATCCACCGACGAGAGCCTTGGCCTCGTTATTCTCACTTCCGCATATTTTGTCAGTAAATATACATGTCTTTTGATTTGCCCTCCCGTCAACAGTCAGAATCAATCAAAAAAGACGCTGTACTCCCAAAATCGACAGCGGGCACTTAGGTAGCCTTGTCCTTGTTGTGGTAGTTGACGTCGGAGTTCCAGCTGTGAGTTTGTTAGAAGGCATGGTTATAAATGACTATCGAGTTGTACGCGACGCTGGACGGTTCAGGCGTAAGGAACTTACAAGATGGTCTGGAAAAAAAAGATAACATCGTCAGCAACCAAATTAAGATCGATAAAAATATACAAGTTCTGGTACGCACCTTGTCACCGTCTCCCCAGGGGAAGTTCTTCACACGGATGTTCTGGTAGGGGTACTCAGTACGCTCCTCAAGCGGGGGCATGTGCGCCCAGTGCTCCCAGTGCTCGTTCCAGAGGTTGTAAGAGTTGATTCCTCCGGCAATCAGGATAGGAATGACGGCGCTGCGAAGAAGGTAAATGTTATTAGAAGTTCAATTGAGGTAGTAATAGCTAGTCCACATACTAGATGGAGAGCTTGCGCCACAGGTCTGAAGTAGGAAGACCGGCCATTGAGTTAGCACAAACACACCCTTGAAAAACCACGACATCAATTGATCTGGATACGCACCACTGGTAGCAGCAGCATGGTGCTTAACGGCCTCTCTCTCGCGGTTGAATGCGTTGTCGGCGGCCCAAGAGGGAAGCTTGGAGTCGGAGCTGTTGAGACGGCGCTGGACGGTGGAGCGGACCGGAGCAGCACGCAGCTGCTGGGCAGCGCGCTGAGACAGACGAAGGGCGTTACGCTGAGGGAACATGGCTGGAGGTGGGATGGAGTGGAGGAGTGACGTTGGAGAGATGGGACGACGTCTTTGACGGTGGGATTATCCCGGACGTCGGCCCTTCCGGCTTAACGAAACAAAAGCCGTTTAGCGTCCCCGTGATTCGCTGGCTCCCCATTAGGCTTATGTCAGCAATTGGCTCAGATCGCGTGATGTCACGGTCACGGGGATGGAGTGGCTAGTCCTGGTCACGTGCCACATGCACCGCTCGTAAACCTTTGTCCCGTGACTATACATGCCTCAGGCAGTCTATGTCTCCCTGGACGTAGACTGCCTCAGGCATATTTTGTTGCGGCCTTCGGTTCGGCGTTGCCTCGTCGCCTCCCTTCTTTTCCCGGTTGCATTGGCGAGGTAAATCACTGCTTTGTATCTACTACTACATCTTGGTTGATTTGAATCATCGGTGTCGGTGTCGACTATCAAGTTGGTAGCTTTACATGAGTGGTGGGCTTTTATCTATCAATATTCGTTGAATGGGATACTCTGGTACCTCCTGGGCGGACATGTGTGATTGGCATCCATAGTGCCGGAATGGGGTTTCGAATTACAACATGGAACGGTATGATTTCCGGGCCCTAACCCTGCCATAAGGATGCTAACAGTGCTCAGTCAACGGGATTCGGTATGTGATGCTGTCT